AACCATGCTTTGATACCATAAAAGATGTCACATCTTGGATTTTTTTTTTTTAATCTTTCCACACATTTAGGCCAAATAGATAAACATCACTTTATTCATCATTCATAAACATTTATTACAATTCATTTATTCATCAAATCATAAATAGAAAAATAAACATGGTGATGTTAACTTCAAGAATCATCCAAGTGGCTCTACCTAGCGGTAGAGGAAGGTCCGCTCTCCACTGGAATCCGATTTAGTATTAGAGGGAGGCTGCACTAAAAATCAAAAACAAAGAAAATTCAGCAACGTTGAGTAGGAACCCCAAAAGTCAACTCAAAATGTATATATGATCAAAATTCAATCAATCATCCCATTGGCGTATATCAAATACCCGAAAGAGCACTCCCCTAACAGCGGATGGAGAGGCTTTACCCTACGGGATGAGTTTGTGTTCTCCCAATAGCGGATGGAGGCAAACTCATATCACACTCCCAACAGCGGATGGAGGAACCGTCCAACCGCCACGTCTGACGGCCCGCTAATCCCCGAAGGGAATTGCCGTACCTACTCTCGGCAGGAAAATAATATAATATCATACTGGTCATGTCCATTTCAGGATAAAATAACATATTTAAAATGTCTCTTTCAAATATCATCAATATCAAGTAATATAAATTAGCCCTCAATTGACTTGAACTATAGTTTAATCGATTCAATTAAACTCGATTTACTAGAGTCTAACTGAACTGATCTCTAATCCTTATTTAACTGGTCTGGAACCACCCTAGACTAGTATAATTTAGACTAGATTAAGTTCAATTTAGGTTAAACTAACTTGAATAAGTCAATCAATTCGGAATCACCCTGAATTGATCTAGACTAATCAAGTCTAGTTTAGTTCAATCAATATTTGGGCTCAAGTTCAATAATAATATTGGGCTAAATTGAGCCGGTTCATCTATTGGTCATGTGCATTATACATGATTGAGCATGCATTACACAAAACTAGCCCAGTCTTAGCCCATGGACTAGTCATGTGCGTCGCATGTGACCGCCCATAATGGTTGGGTTGGGGTAGCCTACGAGCCAAGGCCTGACCCGTGGGTTGGGCCTGGCCTGTGAGCATTTTCATTCCAATTAATATCTAATTTCATATCATAGCATATACCCATTAACAATATAAATAAAAACATAATAATGCATTAAAAGATAGATGAGGAGAAAAGTTTTAATACAAAGAAATAACATTCTAAATTTGACTAAAAATTATAAGACATTAAAAGAGGGACAGGGAGATAAGTTTTAATATAAGGAAATAGTCTTCTACATTCAAATAAAAATCATGTTTTCAACACATATAAAATTTCAACATATTCTAGTCATATTTTAAATCATTCAGAATAATATATTTTAAATTTCAGATCAAAGAATATCAAAAAGGATTTTAGATAACATATTCTAATCTAACAAGATTTTAATCCAGATAAGATTAAAGATAAACTGTAATACAGGAAATCTCATATAAAACAAATATATTTTTAACATATTTAACTTTGTCTCTATAATAAAAACCTTAATCATGGGTCAAAGAATATTATGAAAACTTTAACTAATTATTTTAATGCAAAAAATTTCACATTTAAAGAATTGATACATATTTTTCAAACTATAAAACTTTCAACATTTAAAAAAATAAAATAAAAGCTAAAACTTTTAAATTTAATAAAGGTAGGGAAAACCTACCTCTTGTCAACAAGGTATAACTCCTCATTCCTCCCGGTGCTAGGCTCGACTAGGTGAGGAACAAAGGAGAGAAATCCCTCCCTTTAAATAGGAGGAGGTGAGCCTCTATTAAGGGAAATTCATTTTAATTTTCGTATTTATTTAATATAAATTATTTTAATTTAATATATTAATAAATATGATATCATCATATTTGGAATACTTAATAGTTATTTCCTTAATTCATATCAACAAACAAGGAAGTAGATTAAGATTTCCTTAAATTATAATAACAAGTAAGGAAAGAAAATCAATTCCTAACTTAAATATTTGATGTAGTTACAGAGATAACCGGACAAACTAGTCTATTATATACCCATCCATATAATGGATATAGCTAGTCTTATAGCTGCTCGTGTGTGGACACTATGGATACAATACAGGTGCTCATTGGAGAATGAGTTCACTGATTGATCTGCTCATGCAATGCTAGATGGTTAATGATACCTTATTGTTAGATAGTGACTCCGTTGTTCTATTGGTGTATCTAGTCCTTAAACTTGAGACACCAAGGATATCCTGTATAAGTGCTCCACTCTTTGATACCGAAATTATAGGTTTAGATGTTCCAGATCTAGCACAGCCGGTCATCGGGAATGACAGTCAACCTTACGAGGGCTATTGAGTGTCAATAGAGGATCATCCGCTCTTGGTGTCATGAGAAGAATATCACATATGTTCTTGCTTAGACAAATCTCTAAGCATGGTCATTCAGATTGAGAGAGAAAGAGTTCTTCGGGAGAATCCGATTAGAGCAAGACTCGAGTAAAAACTATATAGGTCTAACAACACCATGCGCAGTATATAATATGTGGGATATTAGATAGATGAGGGACTATAGGTACATGGTAAATAAAGAAACACATGTTCAATTAATTGGATTCCCTTGTATCGTCTAGGGACTGCGACGTAGTGGCCTAGTATTCACAGTCGATGAGTCGAGTGAATTATTATGAAGATAATAATTCATTGAGTTAGAAGGAGTTTTGACAGGTATGAATCACAACTAGCTCGATATTGGGCCTAGAGGACCACACACATATGGTATGCATTGCAATGAGTAGAGGTTCGGATATGAGATATCCATCGGAGCCCCTATCTTAGAGAGGCGCTAGCCTATGAACCTTTGGTTCCCTTCTATTTATAGAAGACTTATGCCAACTTAACCGTAATGGATCCTGCCTTATTGAGTATTGGATCTTCATCCAACTACCAAAGCCTCTTAGATTAGTGAATCTTTATCCAATAATCTCTCATTGACTCTTATTAGATCTCATCCAAAGGATCCAATAATTCAAAGGCTTATTGGATATCTTATTAGATCACATTTTTTTAATATTATATCATAATGTAAAATAATTTGTAAATCACATTTTCTTAACCTTGGTTTAGTGGGCCCTATGTAGCCGATCTCAAATCACAATGACTCGGGTCGCTTCGAACGGGTCTTAAGTGATTCTAAATCAAATAAGTCAAAAGCTGATTTTGGGTGATTCTAACTAGGTGTGAGGTGAATCCAAGTTGGTACAGCTTCAAATCAAATTGGTTCAACATACGTGCATGCCATTCTTAGGTTATAGTGAGCTTGGTATCCCTTTATCTCTTGGTTTAGACAATTTAAGAGGTTTTATTTGATGTTGTTGATGACTTTTGACAATTATTTAGATAATAATCAAAATTTTAAATTTCATTTTTGAGAATGGGTTTGAGTGTATTTGTTTAATATGATTTTTACTATATTTATGAGGTATATTTAGAAGTGCCCCTTGAAAGGAGCTAAGGGATTATCACATTTTTGACATGCCATATGCCAAAAATAATTTATTCTAACATTTTTTACATTTATCTTAATATCTCATTAAATGCATGAATGAATGAATTTACAAAATATAATGTCTCTATTTAGACTATCTAGTGGTTTATGCATTATTGCATAGTTGGTAGGTCTTGAGTGCACATAAAAGCATCTTGTACACTCTTTAATGAATAAAAATTATTATTTTTAAATATAAAATATAAATATTTTATAATATATGAGGACATTATTTTCCTACCGACATAGGCTAATACTGATAATGTTACATGACATTATTTCCTTATAACATTATTTGCCTACAAAAACATTATTTATCTTTGAGAATTAGCCGGCCAATGGTTAGATAATTTATTGATCTCCATTTTGGTAGGTGAGAGGTACCACTCAATTCATTGTGGAGCTACAATATAAATTTTCTTAATATTTATATACATAAATATACTATTATGATTCATATTTATCTATAATATTTATAATGGACTTGGTATACATAATATATTTTTATGTTTGAACTATACTATTATGATTCATATTTATATTATCTTGATATAATACTAATATATTTTTAAATAAAGTTTTATATATGGATATTTATATTTTTAGAACTTAATTATGGAAATTTCTATCCAACATGATTGCTCAAATGTTTTTGTATATTATTTATTGTGATAGTAACCTTCTAAAAGTTACAAATTGGAGACTTAAGTGACAAAGACCTGTTTGACATTTTCTTCTCTTGTGATGGTGGATTAGTCAGAGTTCCATGTCTTAGGTCTGATCCATGAAAAATTCTCTATTCTTGATTACATACATTTTGGAATTGTCTACAAGCAATGGAACTTGGTCATCAAATTCATAGGCATTTTAGATAGAATCTTGGGTCATTATTGGTAATTTCTATATTTTGTGAAATATCAAAATAAATTTTACATGTAAAAATTTGAGCAAACTTATTTCAATCTGAACCACCAGACAAGAAGACTTATTCATGGCTTTGGCATGTAAAAAATAATTATTATTTTTTGAAACTACTTTTTCTGTTATTTCAAAATCATTTATGATTTAATAATATTTTAAATATCCATAATAATATTTCATAAATCTTAATCATTTAAAGAAAATATGTCCTATGATAAATAGGTGGATGAGTAATAAAATACCCCTCTAAATTAACTGTAAATTAATTAGCTACCCATATACTTCTTCTGACTTACACTTAAACACTCTTCTCTTAGTAAAAGAACAATGGATACAACTCAAGGGATGACTTCAACCTTAACACTTAAGCTTAAAGCTTAATTTAACCAATAGATATTATTCTTAAGAAATCCAAAAAATATTGGCCAACCTTTGGATTAAGTTTGCAGTATAACATACCCAAAATTGTTGTGATTAACCAGTAGATAAGAATCACAAATAACACAAACATTTGCTCCTTGCAACTATAGACACAAATGTTACAACTTACACGTGATAGAAAAACACAAATCAGCAGACACAACAATGTTATTCTTCAGACAAGGGAGAAACATAAAAGAAGACCACACACAACATCACTGAGCAAAGAGCAAATATAGTAATAGGAGTAACATCGTGGTCTTGACTTCAGTCATGGGATCCGACGTTGCCGTCCGCTGTGTCAAAGCCACGACATCGACTTTGAGATAGACTCCCAGCCAGTGCTCGCCTTCAGTCGATGGTCTCCTTCAAGGCTCGACATAAGGCTTTCAGGCATATCTTGCAAGTATAGATGGCGAAGAGCGGGAAGGTTGTCGATGCCACAAAGTCCTTCTCCCTGTAGATCCCTGCAGCGGCTAAGATGCAGCAAAGTCAAGCTCTGCAGAGCCTTTTCCTCCATGTCCAGCTGACTCAGGCGTTTCAACTCTGCAATATTAAGTGACTTCAGACGCAAGAACATGTTTGCACGGAAGCGCAGCTGCTCTCCGTTGTATGCCCTTCGCAGCGTGAGGTGGACCAGACTATCTAGTTTCTCAAGATGAGGAATGGGGTTGCAGGTAGCTTTCAGTTGAGAATCCAGTAAGTACAAGTGGGTTAGGCTGCTTAGGAGATTGAACCATGGAGGGACTTTCCACAGCTGCCCATCCAATACAAGCTTGCGGAGGTGAGGTGGAGGAGAAGGCAAGTAGTCCAACATCAGTGCCTCGTCGGATGCCGCGTCGATAGTGAGGGAGAGAAGCTGGCCCATCTTGCTAATGGAATCGCACAGCTGAATCCCGTCTTCCGCATGCACGTTCGTAAGTCCAAGGCGTCTCATTCGGACCAGCGCAGCTATTTCAGCGATGAGCCTCTCATCTGCTTCGACTGTTTTCAGAGTCAGCAAGCCTTTCATATCCCGTATCCACGAAATGGTATCTGTTTTTATCCTTGGTGCTTTTTGATTCAGTATGTCGTCAATCTTCTTCACGGTTGCCTGATCGGATACTAAATTAATTATACCCCTCCCTTTTTTTAGCTTCTTTAGTACATAAACACAGTCCATTAGCAGATGCCGCAGTTCCTTGAGCTTAGCCACTTCATGGGGAAGACAAATCACCTTGGTTCCCCTCAGATCCAAGGTCTCGAGCATCTTAAGTCTTTTGACATATTTGGGGAGCACTTCAACATTTGTGTCCCTTAAGCTCAAGTACCTTAGATTGAACAGATCGAACACTTCACCCGGGACATGGTCGATAGGAACATTTCTCAGTTCTAGCACCTTCAACAGCATAAGATTTGGGGACATGGTTAGGAAAGAAGCAGCAGAAGCTTGGTCATCGACGAAGAAGAGAAGAGATCGAAGGCGAGACAACGGAGCCTCCTCCTTCTTATTATTTGGCGGGACAGCCGGGGCTTTCTCAATGCCGATCTGGACGGACAGGCGACGCGCTTTGACATCATCTACTTTCGCTCCTTGCTCATCCAAAACCGCACAGAGTTTGTGGCCTTTGGATACACATAGGGTTACCTCTCTCATGAGGATGTGCATTCGGCAGGCTTTGACTTTGCCGGATTCATCCTTCCTTGCCACTTGGAGCATGCTACGAAGGATCAGCTCATCGAAGTAGCCCTCTGCGACTTCCTCCGATGTCATTCCATGTATGTCCTCCACGAGTCCCTCCGCTACCCACAACCTGAGGAGCCAATTTTTCTTGATCACATGGTTCTCCGGAAAGAGGCTACCACAGTGCAAGTAGCACTGCTTGAGATGGTTCGGTAGATCAGCGTAGCTAAGCATCAAGATGCGCGACATGGTTACGAGCATCTCGTTGTTGCTCAACTCTGAGCCGATACCATTGTAGAAGCGCTTCCAAGTCAAAGGACTCCGATCTTTGGACGACAACAAGCTTCCTAGTGTAAGGACAGCTAAAGGCAAGCCTTCACACTTCGCTACAATTTTTCGAGCCCAGTCCTCTAAATCTTTGGGGCAAGACTTATTAGGATCTATCCAGAAAGCCTTCTTGCAGAAAAGAGACCAAGCTTCGGATTCAGGCAAAGGCTGGAGGTTCAAGATATGGCTGTCGATGCATAGCGAGGCAGCTACGTGGTGGTCTCTTGTGGTGACGATGACCCTACTGCCCACTTTACCGTTTTGCAGGAGATAAGAAAAGTCATTACATGCGTTTCTGCTCCACACATCATCTAACACGATCACGTACCTCTTCTGATGAAGGCACTCGTCGAGCTCGTCTGGTGTCCCCTGCACCTCGCGGTTGCCTATGATCTGCCTTACGATGCTTCGCAACGGCTCCTCAGCGTTGTAGGTTTTGGAGATGGAAACCCAAGCAAAGCAATCGAAGTGTCCCCTGACATGCTGGTCGTTGTAGACTCTCCTGGCCAGGCAAGTCTTGCCCAGGCCGCCCATACCACAAATCGAGATCACCATGTTCCTCGGGGCGTCGTCAGTCTCACCAAGGAGCCATGCAATGACTCTGGCTTCGTTTTGCTCCATTCCCACCACATCAGTGCCCGTGGTTTCGTGAGGCAGCTCCTCATGTGGCTGCCACATCTGACAGCCACCGTGGTAGCTCTGTTCTTCTCTGCGCATCAAGAGTTGTGGCAGGTATCGGTCTCTTCTTTGTTTAATATTTTCGAATTCTTCTTTGACTTTGGTCAAACGGGTGCCGATGTAGTCTGAGGCGTGGGAGTTCCACGATTTATCCCACTCTTGGCAGTGACCGAAGTAGACGATCAGATCCATCATGTCTTCGACGTCCTGCGCTGTTTCCTTCACCTCCTCCACCCAATTCGCCTGGGACTCGCTGTCTTGTTTCCGTTGCTCCTCGTCACGTAGTAAGCACTGCATGCTCCTGAGCTCCTTCCTCAGGTTATCGAACTCATGTTCGATATCAATGCTTTTGGATCCTTGACTCTTGTTGACGGCTGTTATCGCTCCTCGGACAGCAGCGGAGGTCAGATCCTTGCTCAAGCACGCCAGGTAGTTGCTCAGCACAGCGAAAGTCAGCGGATCCATTTCCAAAGATATGCTCTCAGCCGCTATACATCACCAACACTTCCGGCGTGACGACCGCCGCTTACTGCTCCATAAACAAGCAACGAAGGTTATGCATGCAAAACAAGTCCATAATCTTACATATCGTAAAGAGATCAAGGAAGTTATGTTGTACCTTCTTCCACGGCGTCACTCCTTCCACAACCATTCCCAGCACAATCAAAATAGAGATTGATTGCATCTACCCAAAGGACTGTCTTCTATATAAATGCATGACACTATGGTCATTTCGACAAGAGGATCACTCCTCACCACTCATCTCGATGGATCATTCGGTGCATTGACGACCCCACTTGATCAATCATAACCCGATATCTTTTGTTGGATCATTCACCCAACCTGATGCTGTAGAAGCGCCTCTTTGTTGGATCTTGGTGCATTGACTTCACGTGTTGGAAGTCACTCACAGCTGGTTCGATCATTCATTGGCACTGACCCACCACCTTGGACGTTTATAACGTGATGAGCACGACTGAGGGGACTTGGCCAACTCATTCACCGGACACTAGTCCAAGTGTGGAAGAGCATCACGACGTCACTGCTTTGGTTGCTTGTCCACGTTACGTGACCCACCAAAGAAAACTAAAAACATCTTGTGACGCACCACGTTGAAGAATTATCACAATGGAATCGTCCTCACTCTCTCACTCTCTGTATATATATATATAAAATATATATGTACTTTTGTTGTAGGAAGAGTTTGCAGAAAATAAAAAGGTTTGCGTGCTGCTCGTGCCACAGTTTTGAAATGCGTGTTATGGTGGAAATGTGTTGATGACGGTACCTCTAAGGATCAAATTCGAGTTATCTTAGCGTTTCTTTCGTTAAATCAGGATAAAGTTTATTTATCTTTCAAACAGTCTTACTGCTAGTAGTAGCTCACTATTACTGGCAAAACATAGTACTTATCTCTAAACTTTGTACTGCATGTTGGGCTGACAGCCCATATTTAATGTGAGTTTTATCAGCCCACAGCTCATCCCCTCTTAATTTAATCATAATTTATATTAGTGGGTGTGGTGGTTATAAAAAGAGACAGAAAAAAATAGCAAAGAGTCAGTTTCTGACAGTCACGGGATTCCAAAGAAAATAAGGAGAACAAAGTAGAAAAGGAAGAGAAAGAAAAGAAAGAAGACAATGACAACACAGAGACTATTCTCAATCATCTGGTAGTACTTTCATATCAAGTTAGATCAGATCTATAGTAGATTTTTACTGTGATTACTTGAGGAGAATTATGGAGAATTCATATCTCAGTTATTCTCTTGTGATTATTGCTAGGGTTTTGAACAAAAGATTGTGATTTGTATATTCATTATTGTTATAGTGGATTATCTCTAGTTTATCCCTTGATTTTTATCCATCGCATTAAAAGGATTTTTCATATATATTTTGATGTTCTATTAATTGTCACATATTTAAAAATGAAATGACGCTAAGGGTCCATCCAGGATGATCATGGCAAACTATTTCATTTGTCAAGTAGGTAAGGGACTTATTGGAATTACCCTATCATTATCTGAGAGATACTCTTTTCATGACTTGAATATAGGTTTCTGTAGTTGCACCTTAGTGTTGTTCTGGAGTCCACCATTAAAGTTAGATAGCAACATCGCAAAAAGAAAGAAAAATAAAATGAAAGTGGTGTTAAGGGTCCACCACCAAAGTTTGATAATAATATCACGAAAAGAAAGAAAATAAAAATTCATATTTATGTGCTGTGACAAGTTTTAGTCTCATGCAACCCTCCACTTTATTAATTCGGATATGCGATCAATATTAATTATTTTTATTAAAATAGACAATGATTCTCACATTATTCTGAATCGATAAGGGTAAAGAAATTTGTACAAAATTATACTATTAATCCAATGACTTATAGTATAGAAGTACGAGAATAACATAATTTGTTCATTAGAAACTAAATGGGTAAGAAAAAAAAATATAGAAACACTAATATTACTAGATATAAATTTTAGGTTAGAAATGGTGTAGATACATGATGAATACTTCAAAGAATCAATCTATTAGAATCATTTTTTGCACCTAAATGAGCAACCAGAGATACTATTTAGATATAATAAAAGTTTACTCATAATTGATTGTTCTATATATATATATGTTTTCATTTAACTTGGAAGAATTATAATAAATAAGGGTGAAGCTCTACCTAGCAATAAATTTTTTTAATGGACTTTAAATTTTTTTATTGATAAATAAAAACATTATTATTTTGTTTAAGAACACTACAAGTGAGCCTTGATTAGTTTCAATTCTCATAGATCTTAATTATTCAATCCATTATGAATTTTATGATTTTATAAAGTAATTTATTTAAGTGTCTTATGGATTTCAATTCAAATTATGAATTTATCATATATTTCAAATATCCTGGTCATGAAACTGGTGTGCCCCTTGTATTGCAAGTTGTCTCATTTAAACCTCCAAAAATACATTGAAACAGGATAGAGTTACATATTGCAAAGCATTTAAAGTGTTTTTTCATATTCTTCTCCACCAAGATCGACATTTTATAGAATAACTAAATCCATATTTATTTTCTTCACATGCAAGTTTCTCCATCCTTATTCTCCAATAATAATCAAATCTAAAAATAATCATCAATCCTAACAACATTAATTAAATTTGAAGTCTCTATTACCTTTCTATGATTGTGAAACATTTTGTCATGATTCTCTCTCTCTCTCT